CCCTGCTATAGGCAACTTGCAGTTCTCATTTGAAAGTTATCAAGAGCATGGTGATGTAGTCCTTGATAGATTTTTTTCTTGAAAACAACTTCTCTTTTCCCTCATTCTGTTTTTCCTTCTCCCTTGCACATCTCTTCCTGATGATATAATGAATTCCTTTATATAAATGGAAATGATGCATCAATTTTTATTTTTATTTTTTTAATTTGTTAGTTCTGTTATGTAGTTTTCCATTCGTTCTGAGCCTGTTAGCTGGGAGGTACCAAGCTGTTTGTTCAAACTAGCAGGGAGAAGTTAGCCTAGGTATTCTTCATAGTGTTTTGGAGTTTGTAAATAAATACCTTGGAATAATTAAAAAAAATACAATTGTATGCACATTTTCTTTTACCCATGACTTGGCCATGTTGGCAGCTTTCTGTTGAGAATTGCAACCTGATGCATTTAAACATGCTGTTACCATAGACCTAGTAACAATATACTTTGCCAAAATTGTCCCCTCAGCCCATTTATTGCCATCTTGGAAATTCTAGTGCTGCATACATCTATCACATTAAAGGTATAATTATAAGAAACACACTTCTGTAATGCAAAGGGAGTGTGGTATCAAGAGTAAGCACTGCCAGATGGTAGGCAATCTAACGGAGCATTTAAAAAGGGTCAGAATCGAAAATGTCTGAAATCCGATGGCTTATTAAGCAATAGACGTTGCATGTGTGGGACAAGTGAGAGATAAGTAACCTAATTTAGGTGCCCACATGACCAAAATTGACTTTTAATTGCATGCATTCTGTCAGCAAATATCTGAAATACATGTTTTTACTAACTTAGAGGTGTTTTTTGAAACTTGGAGCTGAATATTATATGCAGTCACGTACTGCTGGGTATTGAGAAGTAGGTTCTGTACATGGTCTTTTTGTGTATTTATTGAAGTAGTGAATTTATTATGACGAATGATCTCTCTGAAATGGAAGAGAAAATCTAAAAACAATTTCAAGGTTTTTGATGTTGAAACGAATTAAATCCAGGACCTAATAATTGTATCATTTCATATGCGTATTACTTAGCTAGATGTAAACTAAATACAACATAAGTGATGACCGAATCCAATTAAATGTCTTTGGTTTTAGTTTGCTATTTAAACATATTAGCTACGAGTTTAAAATTTCTTGCTTCCTTTTAAGCTGTCCTCTGTTCCTGTTTCCTAAAGGTAGATTTTCTGGTTAGTCTGGCTGTATGCTGTGCTCTGTCGTTCACATGCAGGCTAATTTTCTTTTGTCAAGAGATGATTCTGGTTAAGACAGGTCTGAGGAATACTCCTTCAGTATTACGCTACCGGTCAGTGTTATTCAGCAATTTCCACCACCACCCTCCTCATTTCCCAGGACTGTACAAGCATTGCTCGATGCGACCGTGGTTGTTTCTGTCATTTCTGAGCTGCAGCCGACTTTTACATTCTCCACGGGCTAGACCAAATTTGTCTTTCTGTGGAAGGGATGGGAGATCTGCAGTGAACTTCCACTCCCACACTTGTTCCTCACAGCGTGACAGAGTTCAGACTTGC